GCCAACTCTGTCTTAACTTCTCAATTACCGAATTTTTCAGAGTATAAGATGCACCGGAGTATAAGACACACCATGATTTTGAAGAGATAATTTTTTTTTAAGTTTTTGCACTTTGCAGGCCTCCCAAACCCTCTGCACGCCTCTTTTTTTTTTTTTTTTTTTGCAAAAATAAAATAAAAAGGACATGAAGAGCTTTGGGAGGCTTGTAGAGTGCTCCTGGGGACTGAAGGGAGGGCAGAAATGAGCAAAAACAGGCCGTTTGTTACAAAAAAAAGGGCATTCAGAGCTTTGGGAGGCTTGTAAAGCGCTGGGGGCTGGGGGGGGGCAAAATCGAGCAAAAACAGCCTGTTTTTTGCTCATGTTTGTACTCCCCAGCCCCCCGGAGCACTTTGCAGGCCTCCCAAATCCTCTGCATGTCCATTTTTGCAAAGGGAGTGGGGTTTCAGTAGGCCAAAAATGTGGTATTCAGTGTATAAGACGCACCCAGATTTCCACTCTCTTTTTGGGGGTAAAGGTGTGTCTTATACTCTGAAAAATACGGTAATCAGGGGAGGCCCAGCTAGTAAAAGAAAGACCAGCAAAAAACTCCAAGCTGTGGGAAAATGGAAGCAAAAGTTGGCAGCCAATGGGCAGATTACGTCCATACTATCGTTAATGAAAATTGTACATGAGCCCAACTTGACCATTAATAAAGCCAGTTGCCATTAAACTCATTCATAATGCTGTCACATTTCACATTTCACAAGTAAGGTAAAAACCCAGTCAAATTTCAAAGGATTTAAAAGCATCCTAATCAAAGTATCCTAATCAAAGTAACTTAATTTATTTCAGCCAGCATCAGCTTTATCTGCTGAGATGTATAACTTCAAGGAAAATTAATTAGTCTCTTCCTGCAGATGGGTTTTTTTAATAGAACTTGGAAAGATTAAGCTAAAGCACGTCAAATGTTCTTGAACACACTGTAAAAAGGTAGTGGGCTTATTAGAGGAAGGGGTAGGGTAGGAGAGAACAGATGGGAAGGGGGGAAAAAGTGGGGCACTCAGCACTTTCTCTAAACTACATTTTATTGCAATTAACTTGCTAAATTCAGTTGTTCCTCTTGTCCCTTTTTTGCCAACTGAATATGCAAAACAGATTTCACAGAAAATTCAAATATTCTGACTCCATCCAGGTTATTGAGGAACAGATTCTGCTTCCTCTAAAATCTGTTTAGATTTAAATTCAGAGAAGCACAAATAAGGCTGCAGACTAACATGAGGCGAGTTTTTAAAGAGAGACAGGGCAAGAAAGAGAATCTACATTTTTATTTTTTTACCTGAACAGCCATTCATGGCTGATTTTGCCAGGCTCCCAGACCAGAAGACTACTTGCTAAATATTTGAGCTCTTGTCTTGTACAGAGATCAAGGTAAGATTAATTACTCAGGAAAGTGAAGATCAAGTATCACAGGAAGCTGAGAGGCAAGTAAGTACCTGATTTATTCATGTGCACCTCAACAACAACAAAAAAAGAGGTATCAGAGCTGTGGCTGGTTCCAAAAATGAGAATTATCTTGCTGGAATGGACGTCTCACATCCAAACAAGTAGCCAGTTATTTTGGCATTGCAATACACAGCAACATTTTCCCTCCACCTCCAGTAATTAAATATATACTGCCCCTCTCCATTGAGGCTCCACACTGATGTTGTCTATTAGCAGTTAAGAGAAATTTAGTCCACTGAGTCATATTCTGCTTGCTTTTTAAAAAGAAACATTAAAACTTCTATCAGATGCAAACTGGGTTGGTTCATCCCGAAATATTCTCTAAAATAACTTCTTTTACTTCTCACCCTATTAAAAATCTTAATAAATAACACGTTTGTATATAAGAACAGATATAATGTGCTTCTGAAGCATTCTGGAAGTAAATCATGCTTCAAGACATTATCGGATCAGATTTCATAAATAGTCAAGGCTGGGAAAGGTTTCAACAGAATATGGAAAAAGGCAGAGAAAAAAAAGGATGTAAGCTCCTGCAGCTATTTTTCCCACATCTTGCATCCCCCCCCAAAAAATACAGTCGAATCAACTAATTTCACACACATTTTTTATGAAAACTTGCATGCCGTGTGGTGAACATAAGCGACTGGAGAATCCTAGAACTACTGTCTGTATGCGAACCAAACTTTTCTTGCAATTCAATGCAATGCCATCAAGACGACCATTCTATGACCATATGGCAATGTGGGAGCTGGTTTTGTGCAAGATGCTGTTTTATTTGTTGGCTGTTAAAACAGAAAAGTAGTCCACTGTGAAGCAATGCAGTGGTCGCCTCACGACCTTCATTTGCAAAAAGGACAACTGGCTTCATGTATAGCCCAACGGACAATTGTCAGAAAAAACTCCTGGGTGACAAAGCTCTCTCTACAAGTGTGTCCACATCGGAGATGGTATTTCAGCCGGTTCTTTCCAGTTCGGGCGAACCGGTAGCAGCGGCTGTGGGAGGCTCCGCCCACCCGCCCCGACATAATGCACGAGCACTGCGCATGTGCAATTGAGGTAGGGAAGGTAAGTGAATCCCACCTCTGGTCCACATGTTTTCATTAAAAAAAAAATAGGCCACCTCAGGTAGTTAAAAAGTATCTTTGATGATTGGCCTCTTAGGGAAGAGGTATCCCTACACGGCCTTATCTCCTATTGGAACCACCTTGTGCGTCTCCTCGCAGGCAGCCATTTTGTGAAAGCAGCCACATTGGATGCTCAGATTTCCAATACCTTCCTTGGCTGAAAAGATAAGGCTCTAGGAAGCATATATCTTCCATCATGAAGGAACCTAGCTGACCATCCATTTCTCAGGCATTGCTAGTGAAGAAAAGAAGGTAGATCAAGCCCAACTGCTGGTGACTTCCTGAATCCATCAATGTTTTTTTTCGAAAACACTGTGGACTTGTCCAGAGAGTCACCAGAAGTCAAGACTGACAGAAAGTCTATCATTCTCTTCTTTAAGGATTTGTCAAATTCCCCACCTAAATGGATTTCCCTGGAGTTACCCCATCTAAGTATTAACCAAATCTAACCCTGCTTAGCATTTTCTTGACAGCAAGCAAAATTGACCAGGAGCATTTCTTCGTGACATACTGACTAAACTGTTTGACTAGAAACAGGAAGACTCAAGCTTAAATTTTCCCTAAATTTTGGGAAACTTGCTGGAAGGTTTGGTCAAGTCATTGTCTCTCGGTCCAATTCATCCTGCAAGGTAGCAATATATTACCCAGAAGTCCCAGAGAAAAGTTGGGGGGAAATTTAAGAAATACTTTAAAGTGACAGCTCATTTGCAAAGTCCGCAATCTCACTTTTAGATATTTCGGTAATTCTGATATGAAATATAGTTCTGATTGTGTGAACCTCTAAACAAATATTGATGTATGCTGATTTAGAATAATATGTACATATATAATTGGAAGTTCCCTATTTCCTTATCGTGTACAGTGGGTTTCTTTAACACAGGGATCTTAACTCTGCAAACACAGCTGTGATCAGCATTTAAACTTAACTAATTAGTTTCAAACAGATTCATTATCACTAAAACCCTTCGTGGCCCTCCTTGCAAATCTGTTGTGTCAGCAGCTTCAGATTTAAAAAAAAAAAAACCTCATACAATTCGTGAGCTATGTTTAAAAAAGAGAATAGCAAACAAGTGCACAATCCTGTTCACGCCAAGAAAATCAAGTTTGGGATGTCAAGAGAGTTCACACGGACCTGTTTTTTTTTGCAGCATCTCTGGTGTAACCCTAGCTAGTTTCCAAATTGCAGTGCAACCTAGTAGTTGCGTAGGTCTGAAGAGCGAGTTCTGGGCAGATCAGAAAGCTGGTTAACATACTCTGGCAATAAAGTACTCTACAGAATATGCAATACCTATCTGCTATCCAAAGTAACTCCGCAGAATTAATTTCAAGGGGAAATAAGAGAGTCACAGAATGGAAAAACCACAGGAAATGTTTATAACACTGGAAATCGCCGTCAACATGGAAAAACATATGTAAAGGGCTTGAGGTTGGAGCAATTCCACACCTCATGTTGACTGAGGTTACAGCTTTTGCAGGAAAGAAAAATAAACGAGACAGTGAAGACAGTGATCTTTTGGATAGATCAACAGATCCACTTCCACAAAGGTGCTGAGCACCTGAGATAAGATAAGTGCCTCTGCAAAATACATGACTGCATATTTTAGCAGATACCAAGAATTGTCTTTCAGGTCATACTCAATCAGGGTAAGAAATGGAAAACATTGAATTCTGAGATGGATGGGAAGAGATTCAGGAGCGAGGAAGTATAAAAGAGCCTCAGCTTTTCAATCCAAACACTCAGCTAAGACACACAGAGCCTGAATGAGCAACTCCAGTTAAAGCAAGGAGAGATATTGCAGATTAGACTGTGATTCAGAGCCATTTTATTTAAAAGAAATTAATGGGACGTGCACTCGGTCTGAGGAATGGACACGAATCCCTAAAGATTTAAGAAAACTCGCAGCGCAATCCTGCACACCTTTGGTTCAACAGTGACCCTGTGTCCTTAGCCGCCACTTTAAAAATAATAATAATCAAGTTGTCACAGGTTAATTCCCCAATTGATTGAAATGGGCAGGAAGCCACCCCAGTTCCATGCTGCAGCAAAAAAAACTGGAATAGTATGCCCACCTACTTACCTACCTAACACACACACACACACACAGACAAAACAACAAACTTGCAATGTTGCACCTGCTTTTTTCCCCAACTCATAATTGAACAATTGTACCGAGAATCAGGAAAAAGGGGGATCAAATAAAAAAATAATTGCATACCTAACAGGCCCAGGAAGGACCCGTGATTTAGCTGGAATGTATTAATTTTTTTAAAAAGACAAAAACAGCGAGATGGAGAGCTGCCTGGAACATTTGCAAGGCATTAATCTGTCACGGCTACCCCAGCCACGTGTGCGAGAGAAGGAAAGCAATGAGAGGCCAAAGCGCCTTCACTTACTTTTCATACTCGGCGTTGTCCCTATCACACCGAGAATCCTTGTGCTTCTGCCAATCTTTGCCATGCTTGCAGGTAGTCAACAGGACAACGTCTTCCCCATTATGGACATGATATAAGGCATTCCTGGTGTCTGATCCTATCCCAGTTAGGTACCTTTTCCCTTTGAACACCAACATATACTTCCTCAGAGGTGGGATGGTGTTAAACCTCAAGAAGCCCCTCTCCCCTCCTGTCCTTGGGTGATCCTTAGAAAAAAGAGGGATGGAGACGTCAAACTTGGGCCGGAAGTTTTCCGTACTGATGCTGGCTTTGGCCAACATGGCCTGGCCAATGTCGAAGCCCACGTCCTCGGTGTAGTCAGGCCAGGTGCCGGAATATAAGTTAAAAACTAAATGATTCCTCCCGTTGTTCCACAAGTGGAGGCTTTGCACTTTGGAGCGCAGGTTGTGCACGTACTGGGGGGAGAGCTGGTCTCGGTCTAAGGTGTCCAAGCCGAGGACGAAGAGGCAGGCTTGGCTGGGGTCCGAAGTATAAAAGCGGGAGCCCTCGACCGCGGCCAGGATGTTTTGGTAACTCTCGGCGATCTTCTCCCCTTTCTGCGGCGGGTAGACGTAGACCTTGAAGCCGTTTTTCCTGCACAGGGCGAAGTCGAAGCAGGACTCCATGCGGCACTTCTTGCCCTTGTAGAGGCCGGCGTTGGCGTCGCGCTTCTGGCGAGGGGAAGCGTGCCGGTTGTAATCCTCGCTCTCCAGCTGGTCCCAAGGCAGGAAAGGGCGCAGGGCGTCCGGGAAGCGGGGCCAGTAGCGTTCGGGGCGCTGCAAGCCATTCCTGCCGCCGCTACTGCGCGCCTCTCGCCTGCTTTGGCTCCTGGATGCTCTGAACTGCAAGCCTCCCAAGTAGAAGAGAAGGACGACGAAGGTGCCGGCCGAGAGGAGGGTGAAGTAGCGTTTTTTGGCCTGCATGTGTCCTATCTGGGTCGAGGGGATCGCCGATGAACACAAAGCTCGCCCAACTTCGCCAAGTGACACTTTCAGCTTGAGTCCGCCATTTTCCCGCCTGCCAAGACTTTAAACTCTCGTCTCCCACCACCTCCGATTTCCTTTCCCAAAGGCTCCGGCTGATGCAGCGCATGTGGGCGACTTCGTTAACTTTCTCCCCTCGGGTCTTTCATCTTCGGGCTCGCCCTGGGAGGAAGGAGGGTGGCGGCGGCAGCGACGGCGGCTGGGCAAGATGAGGATAGCGAGAAAGGGAGAGAAGGACCGAGGGAGCGAAGGGAGGAAAGAGGGAGCGAGGCCGGGAGGAAAGAGAGGGGCGAGGAGGGGGCTGAAAGGCCGGGAGAGAGAAGGGAGGAAAAAGAAGAAGGCAAGCCGGGGCAAAAAAGAAGCCAAGCCCGCCCAGTGTGGCTTTCCCCAAAAAAAGAGAAAAGAAAAGAGGCTGGGAATTGGCTCGCAAGGCAAAGAGGAGGGAAGAGAAAAAGGACAAAGACAGCGGCGAGTCTGAAATCTAAATAGGAAAAAAAAAGGGGGAGAGAGAGAAGCCGTCGAGTCCCGGGCTCCGGCTCTCCAATCTGTGGGTGCCAGACCGAGAAAGCCGTCCCGCCCTCTTCTCTCTCTTTCTCCGCCTGCACACGCGTTACACACTCCACACACAAACACGCGCGCAGCACACAAGGGGTGGCTCGGAGAGCAAAGCCACAACTTCAAGTCGGGCGAAACATCCCCGGGAAGGTCGCAAACACAACAACAACCACCACAACCACAACAAGAAGAGAGAAAGGAAGGAAGACAAGCCAAAGACAAGCCGGCCGGTTAGTCAGTCGGTCCGTCCGTCCGCTTAGAAGCCCGGGGCGCCCGGCTTTTTTTTTTCCCAAGAAGTCGCCGGCAGCGAGGATCTGTTCAATGCAGGGCTTGCCTGGGCTCGCTGAGATCAGAGCAACCAAAGCCGGGCTTACATCTTTCGGCCCCAGCACCGTAACCTTACGAATCCCTGCATTTCTCTCTGTGTGTGTCTCCCTTTCTCTCCTCTCTGTCTCTCTTTCTTTCTTTCTTTCGGTGCGTTCAGCACCGGCTGCAAAGCATGACGAGCGGGGCTGCCCTACGATTTCGCCGCCTGTATGGCCCCGGGGATGGAAGCGAACGAGAAGATCCTCCTCCTTCCTTCCTTCCTTCTTCGCCGCCGCCGCCGCCGCCTCCTCCTCCTCTTCCACCGCCTCCTTTTAGCCCCCGCCCCTCTCAGCCATTCATTTCAGTGAGCGGCGATCCACGCAAGCCCGGGAAACAGCCCAGCCGGGAGGGAGGGAGGGAGAGGAGAGAGAGAGGAGGAGGGAGGGGAGGGGAGGGAGGAGGACGCCGCCTGCTCCTCGTCTGGCGACGCTGCCCGATGGCGGCGGCGGCGGCAGCGGGCGTTCGATCTCCGAACGTTTGCCCCGGTTCCGAATGTTAACACTCGCCACATTCCATTCCCCGACGCCACAGCGCTGACCTCATCCATCCACGCAGCCCGCCGGCCGATTGGCTGGGCGTCACGTCCGGAGGGGGCGGTGCTTCCGCTGCACCCATTCATAACCCGCCGGGCCTGGGGAAGGGGATGTGGGGTGCGAAGGGGAGCGGAGGGGGGGCGGCAGCGGATGAAAAAGACGGTTTTGCGGTGTATCTCGAGCGAGCGGAGGAAGCGATTCCCGCTCGGCCCTTTTGAGATAGGAACGGGGGGCAGGGGGGCGCCACACCCGACCCTCACCCCGGTGGAGAGACGCATGGGAGTGGAGGGCTGCTGCCCCCCCCCGTGAGAAAGCCAGTCCCGCCCCCCACGCGCCCCCCTCTGGCGCTGCGCGGGTCATTCGAGTTAAGCCGCACGTCTGAATGAGGACCCGAGAGTTTAAATTCCCCCCATACACACACTTCCAACAAATGGAGCTTCGGGTTTTCGCGATCTCCCGTGTCGGTGCCGGGTAACCGGTGGCCGGCATCCGTGGGGAAAGGCTTCCACTTTTGTCCTTAAGGGCAAACGCCAGGGAGATGTGGGCGCCAAGCGATGTCTGGAAAGCAAACTCTTCCCGTGCTCCGGGCACGTTTACAATGCAATGGAATGGTAATTGGAATGTGTGCCGGTTAGTGTCCATTCAAAGGGAAAAAGGTCTGTGGAGATTCTCAGTCATCCAGGTCATGGTTGTCCCAAAGGTGCTTTTTTTTCAAGAGGCAACTGGACTTTGTTTTTTTCCTGTGAAGACGTTTCGCTTCTCAACCAAGAAGTTTTTTCACTCTGACTGGATTCTTCCCATTCCCCATCATCCAGTCAGAGCTGAAGAAGCTTCTTGGTTGAGAAGCAAAACTCTTCAAAGGGGAAAAAAACCCAAGAAAGTCCAGTTTGCCTCTTGAAAAAATAAAGCACCTTTGGTTCATTCAAAGGGGACAATCAAAATGATTCTAGGTTTCAGAGAGGAGGCTCTGGCTGCTGCAGAGTCCCCCCCCCCCTCCATTTGATGAGTAGCCAGCTTAGAAAGAATGGGAATCCTTAGTTCCCGCAAGGTTGAGTTCGTAGGCTCCCAGCTCCTTTTGTAATCCACAAGGGAAAGGGGCAGATCGCCATCTACAAACACCCCGAACGATGAAGAAGGAGATGTAAGGAAGGGAAGTAGAATCTCAAGGAGTTACTTCAGAGTAGAGCCTGGGTTTGCAAAGCCTTTAGTTTAGGCTCCTGTCAATCACTTTTGCTGCTCCGGAGATTAGCATCGCTTGCTGCTCCTGGAGTTAAGCAATTTTGGAGACCCCCCACTTCACCTTCCTTCGCTTTCACATTCCTTTTTCTTGCTCCGTTGCGACTTTAAGCAGATCAGCTTAAGGGTGGGGAGGACATACAGTGGAAGAGCGGGGGAGATGCTAACCTGTTTCAACTTTTGGGAGACTGGAGAAAGAGAAGTGAAAGTACTCCTACCTAAGTTTTCTTGAGAATCAGGTTTGTGTCAATGCCCTCTAGAGCAGGCTGATGGCATTGCTGCCTGCTAAATCTGGGATCATAACTTTTTAGACACAAGGATGGGAAGATTTCAGGCTGAGACAATCATCCTTCCCCTTTTAAAAAAAACAGGCCTGTAAAAGTGCAAATCAGACAAAACACAAAAATTTAAAAAATACAGGTAGTCCTCAACTTACAACCACACAATTGAACCCAAAATGTATGCTGTTAAGTGAGAAAATTTTGTTAAGTGAATTTTGCCCTGTTTTACAACTTTGCTTGCCACCTTCGGTCAGTGAATCACTGCGGCTGTTCAATTAGTTATGCGGTTGTTAAGTGAATCTGATTCCCCCCATTGACTTTGACAGAAATGGGATTGCGTGACCCCCCCCCCAGGGCATGGCAACCGTCACAAATGTGAGTCAGCTGTCAAGCATCCAAATATAAATCTGGTGACCATGGGTAATGCTGCCTCCATCGTAAGTGTGAAAAGTGGTTATAAGTCCCTTTTTAAAATGTCATCGTAACTTCCAACTAAACGAACTGTTGTAAGTCAGGGACTACCTGCATTTTAACTCAGGAATGTTTTCCTCCCATATATGAAGGCACATTCTGATTTAACCCACCACTGGGCCCATGATTACTGATACTCATCCTCAAATATTAAGGGAGTATATCTGAATACAACACTGTCTCACCTCTCCAATTCCTGTTGTGTGAAATGGCTGCAGAGAATGGTAAATTTAATGTGCCAGCTCATGGACCTGTGAGTCATGCACACCCAAAAGATTGGCTTGTATAAACCATGGTTTGGTTAACCATAGGTGTACAGGGCAGGGTTGCTTATTTGTGTCTAGTTTCTAGGCTCCCCAATTCCAAAAATTACTGGGTGATTTTTGAAAATTAAATAACATATAAGAATATTAACAATCTGAAGATGAGAGATGAGATGAGATGCTTTATTTGTATGCCGCCCTTTTCCCTGGGGGGACTCAGGGCGGCTCACAACTCAAGGGGAGGGAGGACAAACA